ACAAGCAAACCCGATACTTTGATGGACAAACATCTCTGGTTTGAATGCATTTAAGAATGTGTTATCAATTATTTCCTGCTCAACTTCTTTGTGGTTCTTTTAATACTCTTCTCCTTCCTCCTCTCCCTCACCCTCAATGGAATCGACTCCAACCTCCTCGTAATCCTTCTCCAGAGCTGCCATGTCCTCCCTGGCCTCGGAGAACTCTCCCTCCTCCATTCCCTCACCCACATACCAGTGGACGAATGCACGCTTGGCGTACATCAGGTCAAACTTGTGATCCAGCCGAGCCCAGGCCTCTGCAATGGCAGTGGTGTTGCTCAGCATGCACACAGCCCTCTGGACCTTGGCGAGGTCGCCACCAGGAACCACAGTTGGTGGCTGGTAGTTGATGCCAACCTTGAAACCAGTGGGACACCAGTCCACAAACTGGATGGTGCGTTTGGTTTTGATGGTGGCAATGGCAGCGTTGACGTCTTTGGGCACCACATCGCCACGGAAAAGCAGGCAGCAGGCCATGTACTTTCCGTGGCGAGGGTCACATTTCACCATCTGATTGGCTGGCTCAAAGCAGGCGTTTGTGATCTCAGCCACTGAGAGCTGCTCATGGTAAGCCTTCTCTGCAGAGATCACTGGGGCGTAGGTGGCCAGAGGGAAGTGGATACGAGGGTATGGCACCAAGTTGGTCTGGAACTCAGTCAGATCAACATTCAGGGCACCATCAAAACGGAGAGATGCAGTGATGGAGGACACGATCTGGCTGATCAGCCTGTTCAGGTTAGTGTAGGTGGGGCGTTCGATGTCGAGGTTCCTGCGGCAGATATCGTAGATGGCCTCATTGTCCACCATGAAGGCACAGTCGGAGTGCTCCAGGGTGGTGTGGGTGGTCAGGATGGAGTTGTAGGGCTCCACAACAGCAGTGGACACCTGGGGAGCTGGGTAGATGGAGAACTCCAGCTTGGACTTCTTTCCATAGTCGACGGAGAGACGCTCCATCAGCAGGGAGGTGAAACCAGAACCGGTTCCTCCACCGAAGCTGTGGAAGACCAGGAAGCCCTGCAGGCCTGTGCACTGGTCAGCCTGAGGACAAAGATGGAAACCAAAGTCAATTGCTGATTGACAATTCAAAGACAAATTTGGAAATTACTGGCATTAAGTTTACCCACCAGTTTACGGATCCTGTCCAGAACCAGGTCGATGATCTCTTTGCCAATGGTGTAGTGTCCTCTGGCGTAGTTGTTGGCAGCATCTTCCTTCCCAGTGATCAGCTGCTCAGGGTGGAACAGCTGGCGGTAAGTCCCAGTGCGAACCTCATCTGAGAAGAAAAATTATACATCAAATTAGTTTAGGTTTACAGATTTTCCACAATAAATACCAAGTTTATTTGTTATCCCAGAAGTGATCTTGCTTACCGATGACAGTGGGCTCCAGGTCTACGAAAACGGCTCTGGGGACGTGCTTCCCTGCTCCGGTCTCACTGAAAAAGGTGTTGAAGGAGTCATCTCCACCTCCAAGAGTCTTGTCACTGGGCATCTGTCCGTCTGGCTGGATGCCATGCTCCAGGCAGTAGAGCTCCCAGCAGGCATTGCCGATCTGAACACCGGCCTGACCGACGTGGATGGAGATGCACTCACGCTATGGAGCAACGGGGAAGGAAAAAGATTTGTCAATTTGGATTAAACTAATACAGTCTTCATCACATTAACACATCCAAGTTCTGGAGACATTTAAGTGCTCCCTCTGTCTGTCAGGACCAGGTACTGCAGCAGGAGGAGGCACCACCCTGCACCACAATCGGCAGGGGATTCAGAATGCCTGCCAGCAGAAGCCCCCACTCTCATCTTTGATCCGCTGTTTTTCATGCTCTGGCCTTTTTCTCCAACTCTTGCATCTAGTTTGCAAGCATAAGCACACATGCAAATTAATTTGCATGGGCACAGGCGCAGGCACTCTGTGAGCCTGGAATATTCCACTTGATCTCCCTGGAGATGCACAATCACAGCGGATGCTTGAACACAAAATGAAAAAAAGAAAAAAAAAAACAGACCTTCCCCTCCAAATCTGTTTTATAATTCAAGTTTATTTAATCAGATTTTTTGCAGTAGGAAGGTAAATTTAATGAAAACTATGCTTTTATTTGAAATTAAGCTTAGAATAACATGAATTATTTATTTTTCATAAATTATATATTGTGTCCCGTTAATAAAAACTGAAAGCAATCTTTGTGTCTCCATCCATATACAGTACAAACCGCCCCTCCCTGCCTTAATGAAAAACGTGTAAATATTCATATTCTAGTTTATAAATAGATCAAATTGGAATATTTATAGCAAAACATAAATAATAAAGTAAACAAGGTTATTTATTAACATTTTATGCAGATTTATCGCTCTCATTGTGCGTCTAAATGCCCCCAGTCAGTGCATTGTTCTCATCTCCAAACAATGACAATCACACTGTGCCACAACTGCGCACCAATCTGTGCATCATCTATATAATCTGACAGCTTCCTTTCATTAAAAATGGAATTAAAATATACAGTAAACATCTGATACATAGATTAGAATAAAACACCCCCACGTGTTAAAAGCTTTACGCATCGAAAGGAGAAAATCCTTCCCGACGTCGTGTGACAGCCGAGACACCGGCTGGGGCTGAATCCTGACCAATTTCTGCCTCACAAATTCCTCCAGTCTAGATTTATTTACCACAAATAATAATAAAAAAACTCACCATTTTTCCGTCTGAGGTTCAAGGAGGAAGAGGAGAAGGAGAAAATGCCAAGAAGGAGGCTTTGTAAAAACGGGGTGTTTGCGTTGCGTGTTGTACCCAACGGGGTCGATGCAACAACTGCTGAATGGGAGGGCGGCGCAGGCAGATTTATGCAGGCAGGGCAGCAGATTTGCTCCTGTGCTGAGTGGAAAAAAACACGATTCTACCGCCGCCATTTGGCGATGCTGCGCAGATCAGACTGCAGGATATGTTAGGGTTTTTAAATAAGCAAAAATTTAAACAAATTAACTTCAGTAATATAATAATAATAGTAATAATAATGATGTTTATTTTATTATTTATTTTCACTCTGTCATACTGTTATGGTGCTTATATTAGTTTTGACGTGATGGGTGAGTTCAGACAGCGCTCATTTATTATCCGTGCACCAGCATCCATCTGGGTGTGGCATCTTCCCACAGCATCTCAGACAAATAAGAGTAAATTTCAACGCAGACGCCTAAGTGTGAGATGTTCCTGCAGGTTAAGAGGCTTCAGTCACAAGCTGACGTCTGCAGGGCGTTGCAGAGACCTGCTGTGATGGTGTCAGTCCAGCATGGCAGCTTCTTGCCTCTTCTCCCTCTTTGTCCCAGATCCTCTGCAATGATGTCATCCAGTGGGGCGATCACGTGGCTGCCCGTGTCTCTGCTGTTCAGCAGCACAGAGGCTGGGTTCATGCAGCTTCTTCAGGTTTCAAGGAACTGAAACTGCCTGAAAAGCAGTTTATGTGAAATAATGCAAAGTGTCTGGGAAGTGCAAGGCGGTGGTTATTATGGATCTCCAGCTGTAAATGCTGTTTTGGAAAATCTTTTTTTCAGTCAAAAATCTGAATCTTAATGTAGGATTTCTTTTTCTGTCCTAAAACAAGGGCACTGATGATGTATTACACTGAAAATGACTTCAGGGATGAAAGGAAAGGACTGTTTGAGAACATTCCCCTCTCCTCCTCCTTCTCTCCGTCTCCTCCTCTCTCCCCAGCAGCTGTGAAGCAGGGAGGGTCAAAGCAGCTGCTCAGCACCAACAGAGAGGAGGATGGGAATGCTGGGGATGGGAGTGGTCCTTTGTGGCATGGAGCTGACTGCATTGCATCGATGCAAACTGAGAACCTGATACCCAACAATGTGACAGAGCACATTCTCCGTCTGTCGCAGAACGCTTCCTGCATGAGTGTTCAAACAAAAAAAATAAAAAAATAAAAGCAGAAATATCAAATGAAAATTGTTATAAACTATTTTAAGTCTGTTGACTTCCTGGATATAGTGACTCACTGACATAAGAATAAAAGAAAATACATCTGCACATGTAATAGAAGTCTCTATCCTTTTTGGTTTTGTCTGCACCACTTTGCAATGCTGCTCACTCTTCTTTGAAAAATATTAGAACTTTATTACAAAAAAAGAAGCATTTTTTTCAAGTTTGGTCTTTGACCGAACCATTCTAAAACATTAATATGCTTTTATCAAAACCAGTCCCCAGTAGCTCTGGCCACTGGGAACACTGGCTGCTGGCCGCTTTGGGGCAGAAGCCAAGGTCCGGTTCAGGTCACACCGAATAAAAAACTATCCATGCCGCTCATGTGCCTCACTCTGGGATCTGCCTGACTAAGACATCATGATAATTTCCTGGAGTTGACATTTTAACTTTCCTCAAGGCAGGTCTGAACTCGACTATTGGAAAATTAATGGCGTTAATATGCATTATGTCCTCATTCTCTAACAAGATTGGCTCTCTACCTTTCCTCTATTAATCCATCCATCCATCCATCCATCCATCCATCCATCCATCCATCCATCCATCCATCCATCCATCCATCCATCCATCCATCCATCCATCCATCCATCCATTTTCTTTACACCCTTGTCCCTTAGTGGGGTCAGGAGGTGCTGGTGCCTCTCTAGCTAACGTTCCGGGCGAGAGGCGGGGTCACCCTGGACAGGTCGCCAGTCTGTCGCAGCCTCTATTAATCATTAATATTATTTGTACTGTATTTTGGAAAATACCTGCACTAACATTGATGCTTTTTGTTTTGTTCATGTTAAATCTCTAATTAAAACAGGACAAGCAGACTCCCTTCAACCAGACATTTCCTGAGGCTGATATATCCTGCTCTAACATGCCTTGAATCTGGGTGGATCCAATGTCTGCTGAAAATGAAAGCAGATTGGCTGTAAGCTCTCTGCTCTGACACATGAGTCATAGATCAGAACTTGAATCAGTTTCAGTGTTCAGGAAGTGAAACTAACACATTCACTGTGACTGAAGAGCGAAATGGAGCTTAATCAGCTGGACCCAGAAACTTTCTCCTGTTCCATCTGCCTGGATCTACTGAAGGATCCGGTCGCTATTCCCTGTGGACACAGCTACTGTATGAACTGTATTAAAAACTTCTGGGATGGAGGTGAGAAGAAGAAAATCTACCACTGTCCTCAGTGCAGGAAAACCTTCACACAGAGGCCTGACCTGGTGAAAAACACCATGCTAGCAGCTTTAGTGGAGCAGCTGAAGAAGACTGGACTCCAAGCTGCTCCTGCTGATCACCGCTATGCTGGACCTGAAGATGTGGCCTGTGATTTCTGCACTGGAAGAAAACTGAAAGCCATCAAGTCCTGTTTAGTCTGTCTGGCCTCTTATTGTGAGAAACACCTTCAGCCTCATTATGATTCAGCTACATTTAAGAAACACAAGCTGGTGGAGCCGTCCAAGAACCTCCAGGAGAACATCTGCTCTCGTCATAATAAGGTGATCGATATCTTTTGCTGCACTGATCAGAAGTGTATCTGTTATCTCTGCTCTGTGGATGAACATAAAGGCCATGAAACAGTGTCAGCTGCAGCAGAAAGGACTAAGAGGCAGAGAGAGCTGGAGGAGAGACGAGGAAACATCCAGCAGAGAATCCAGGACAGAGAGAAAGATGTGAAGCTGCTTCCACAGGAGGCGGAGGCCATCAATCACTCTGCTGATAAAACAGTGGAGGTCAGTGAGAAGATCTTCACTGAGCTGATCCGTCTCCTCCAGAAAAGAAGCTCTGAGGTGAAGCAGCAGATCAGATCCCAGCAGGAAACTGAAGTGAGTCGAGTCAAAGATGTTCAGGAGAAGCTGGAGCAGGAGATCACTGAGCTGAAGAGGAAAGACGCTGAGCTGGAGCAGCTCTCACACACAGAGGATCATACCCAGTTTCTCCTCAACTACCCCTCACTGCCAGCACTCAGTGAGCCGACACACTCATCCAGCATCAACATCCGTCCTCTGGGACACTTTGAGGACGCGAAAGCAGCTGTGTCAGAGCTCAGAGACAAACTACAGGACGTCCTGAGAGACTCATGGACAAACATCTCACTGATGGTCACTGAGGTGGATGTTCTACTGTCAGAACCAGAACCAAAGAACAGAGCTGGACTCTTAAGATATTCATGTGAAATTACTCTGGATCCAAACACAGCAAACACACAGCTGGTTCTATCAGAGGGGAACAAGAAGGTAATAAAGATGAATAAACATCAGTCTTATTCTAATCATCCAGACAGATTCACTGACTGGGTTCAGGTTCTGAGTAGAGAGAGTCTGACTGGACGTCGTTACTGGGAGGTGGAGTGGAGCGGGTCATTGGTTTATGTATCAGTCGCATACAAGAACATCGGAGCAGGAAGTGGGAATGAATGTAGATTTGGAAATAATGACAAATCTTGGGCATTAGATTGTTTCAGTTCTAAATTTGGTCACAACGACATCTGGACCTCCGTCTCAGGTCCAGTTTCCTCCAGAGTCGGAGTGTACCTGGATCACACAGCAGGTATTCTGTCCTTCTACAGCGTCTCTGAAACCATGACTCTCCTCCACAGAGTCCAGAACAGATTCACTCAGCCGCTGCTGGCTGGAGTTTTTGCTGGTTATTTATCCTCTGCAAAGTTCTTTAAACCCAAATAGATTTTTTCTCTGTTGTTGATCAGAGTTCATGGTTCTCATGTCTCTATTCTGTTTATCTTTATTTTTCTGGTTTAAATGTATTTCTCTGTGTTCCAGGAGCCATAAAGGAAATCACTGCTGATGTTTTCTTTCTTTCTTATGACAGAAATATTTATCCAATGAAAAACTAAAGGTCTCTGGGCTCTAATAATTTTGCTTTAATATTTATTCTGATTTGGATGTTCTGGTTTCTCTTCAAAAACTGTAAAACCATAGCAACAAACAACATATATGATAATAACAATTATGACATCACTGGAAAGTACATGGTACAAGCATTGTGCCTAGTTCTCTTTCAGTCTCCTAAGATGCATTTTTCTTCAAATATTTTAGATATACTTTATGAAAAATTCTTGCAAATAGGCAGAGATCCACTGTACTCATTTTACAAGGGCAAATATGCACGGAAAACATTCATTAGGCAAAATTAATTTTAAACATAAAGACAATAACCTTTGACATCTTTGTTTTGCATCAGTGTCACCAGTCACTGCAGCATCCATCAGTTTTTGAGCCTCTTGTCATCAACCGAAATACATAGAAAGGAAAGCATTTTGTTTGCTGCTGAAAAACGCAGCACACAAGAAGAATAAAAAACACATTTCAAAATCCAACTATAGCTTTGTTGTCAGTGGATGTTTGTTGTTATAAATAGCCCAGTAATTGCCCACAGTCGAAGAAGGTGTAGCATGACTCTAACCACTGTTTCATGGAGATTATTTTGTTGTTAGCAACTAAGGGACTTAAAGGCACTTTGGTCTAAAAGCGTTTGTGGTCATTGTCTCTGAAAGGTGATAGTTTAGGAAAGATAATAACACCAAATCCCAAGAGAAATAGCTGCTTTGTCTCATCCAGTTTAAAGTCTCAGCACACCATCCTCATGGGAAGAGCAGATGGGCGTTTCCCTCACAGAGACAAGACATGGAGATCTGGGGAGAGAGAAAGATCACATCCCCCCTACACACGGCACAGCCTCCTAACGGAGCTACAGTTTAAGCTGGGTCACGTGTTGGCCAGATAAAGGCGCTCTGTGTGTGAGGTTACAGGGCTGTTTCCAGGCAACTCCTTTATTCAGCTTGTAGGAACCGTTAAATCTTAGGAGCAGGGATGGAGGGGGAAGGGTTGGGCATCCGCAGCTCTCTGTGGCCTACATCCCTCATGTGTGACAGGGCAGTTTGACCTCTTTTTAATGAAAGAAGACTGTAAAATCTGGCCAAACAACAGCAAATAAAATAAGATACAGACCACATCCGTCACGTTAATTTACGTGCATAACACGTAAATTAAACAGCATGATGTGAATCAGTTCCATAAGATGTACGAAATTATCTGAATAAAATATGTTGGACATGTTTTTAATTATGCTTTGATATGCTTTTAAGGCTGTGGAAATTCTGAAATATCATCATGAAGTTTGGAATATTTGAAATAGGTTCAAAAATTTTGGACAAAATTTACAAGATAATGAATTAAATGAGAAGGTGAAAATATTCTCTACCATGTTATTCATAAAAAACTCAAGTATTGCCTTAATCATGCATTTTGAAGATTTTTCCAGCTGAAAATAAAACAACCAAGATGAATAGAAAAGCTGAGATAGGAAGGTATCATGTAGAATTCAATTTACAGGCCATATTTACAGACCTGGATCTAGCATTATCTAAATCCTTGCTCTGGGGCAACTCACCACCATTTTTAAAAAGATGTTTAGGTTTTTGATGCTGTGTTTGGGTTTTTGATGCTGTGTTTTTCAGCTAACAAAAGATCTGTTAGCCATATAATGATGCATCCTCTGGATGATGCTGCATCCTGTAGCATGGGCGTCCACTCTGGAGGTTGGAAAAGAAATCAATGTAGGGTACTGCACATGTTGTCTCACAGTTTGCTGTCTGATTCTTTTTTTTTTTTGTCATATTTAATGAAACATATAAAAAATCAACAGTCATTTGTTTTTAAAGAAATTTTGAAACCAATGTCATTTATCATGTCTTAATCCTGCTATAATAAAATATATTATTGGTGCTACAAGTTTGCTTCTTTTTCCTCTTAAATTTTTTTGTCCTCAAGTGTGTTTGAATTTATTTTTTTTATATAAAATCGATACAAAAACTGTTTTACTACAGTTCTTGTCAGGCTGACCTAGTTTTTTATTTTTATTTTTTATTTTTTTTAACATTATTTCAAAAAATTACGCAGGATTTTCCACTCAAGCAGAAACGCCGTGATGCTTTCAGTACAATACCAGGAGGGCAGGCGACCAGCTGGGTGGGGCTGATGGGCGGAGACTCTCCTTGGCTTCGTAATGGTCCAATAGGAATCCGCGAAATCATTGCGAACCTCAAAGTGACAGGGAATGGACCAATAGGAGTGGAGAAGCTGCCGGCGCCGGGGCTTTACTCGCATATATAGCTCCGGCATCATCATGTTCGCTATTATCTCTTACATCGACCCCATAACTGTCGAATTGTAAGACTCCTTTTCCGAGGAGACTCTTCCATCCTCTTTCACAACTTCAGCGAAACAACATGGTAAGAACCTTTTACCAGCTTTGTAAAGAGGATATAACTGAGGTCTAAGTGATGGTGTATAGGGAGATAATTTGATTTAAACAGTAAAAATAAGTGTATTTACAATAATGAATGAAGTTTTGAGGGATTTAACTGTAACTTTCTTTCAGACTCAAACGCTTTATTTATGCTACAAAGCGTAGGTCAAAATGTCATGTTCGATGCAGGGAGGGGTCCTGGCGAGGTTCGGATGGGGACGTGGCGGGCAGTCTGGACAAAAGAGTCTCTTCACCCCACCCTCCTTGGTGGACAGTGGGAATAACGAAAGCTTTATTATCCCAGCCTCCTTGGCATGACTGAAACCCCGGTCAGCATCACAAGGTGACAGCTGGAGGCTGTGACTGTAATTTAGTGGCAGCCAGAGTGAACACGACCCACTCCCACTGAAACCTTATCCGGACTGAAAATGGATTAAATGCACAGTCAGCATGGCGTCGGTCATTAAAAATGCAGACGAGTAATGGACACTCCTGATTCGTTCCTAATGTCTATCAGCAAGGATGAACAGAGTCTGTGTAGCTCCGCGGTTTTTAATGGTGATATAAGCGGCAATGCTATACGGTCATAAAAGATATCGAGGTTACCGCTAGTCGATCAGATTTAAGAGTTTTCACGTAAATTTAAGGGCTCAAACAAACATTACCGGTTGCCTAAGTGACGCGTTTGTTGCGTAGCAACGCAGTTCCAAACACAACTGCAATGCTCAAGGAAAAAACAAAACAAAGAGTAACAAAATACCGCGAGATTAGCAAACCCAAATGGAAATCTTATTCAGTTAATTTACCAGGACATTTTACCCATGAACCTCAGGTCCAAAGCTGAAAAATCAAATTTCTTGATGGTTATATTTATCACATAAGTTGTTTTTCTTTCACTCACAGGTGTTAATAAAAGTTTCTTTTTCCTTCATAAGTATGAAATAGTTTTTGTAAACTGTTAAAATTCTCCTAATGTTTTTTCTTTTTTTCTTTCTCACAGCGTGAGTGCATCTCCATCCACGTCGGTCAGGCCGGTGTACAGATCGGCAATGCCTGCTGGGAGCTCTACTGCCTGGAGCATGGCATCCAGCCAGACGGACAGATGCCCAGTGACAAGACCATTGGAGGAGGAGATGACTCCTTCAACACCTTCTTCAGTGAGACCGGAGCAGGGAAGCATGTCCCTAGAGCCGTTTTCGTAGACCTGGAGCCCACTGTCATCGGTAAGCAAGATCACTTCTGGGATAACAAATAAACTTGGTATTTATTGTGAAAAATCTGTAAACCTAAACTAATTTGTTATTTAATTTTGTGCTCAGATGAGGTTCGCACTGGGACTTACCGCCAGCTGTTCCACCCTGAACAGCTGATCACTGGGAAGGAAGATGCTGCCAACAACTACGCCAGAGGACACTACACCATTGGCAAAGAGATCATCGACCTCGTTCTGGACAGGATCCGTAAACTGGTGGGTGAATTCAGACACAGAGCTCTTCAATTTGTTTTCAAAATGTTTATTTTGCAAGAGAACATCTACATGGTGGAACATTTTATATTAAAAGTAGAGTTTTAATCACCTTATTGCAAGAACAGCGGAATATAATCTGGTAACATGCAACATTCCATGTTTTCTTTATTTATATCCTCAGGCTGACCAGTGTACAGGCCTGCAGGGCTTCCTGGTCTTCCACAGCTTCGGTGGAGGAACCGGTTCTGGTTTCACCTCCCTGCTGATGGAGCGTCTCTCCGTCGACTATGGAAAGAAGTCCAAGCTGGAGTTCTCCATCTACCCAGCTCCCCAGGTGTCCACTGCTGTTGTGGAGCCCTACAACTCCATCCTGACCACCCACACCACCCTGGAGCACTCCGACTGTGCCTTCATGGTGGACAATGAGGCCATCTACGATATCTGCCGCAGGAACCTCGACATCGAACGCCCCACCTACACTAACCTGAACAGATTGATCGGTCAGATCGTGTCCTCCATCACTGCGTCTCTCCGTTTTGATGGTGCCCTGAATGTTGATCTGACTGAGTTCCAGACCAACTTGGTGCCATACCCTCGTATCCACTTCCCTCTGGCCACCTACGCCCCAGTGATCTCTGCAGAGAAGGCTTACCATGAGCAGCTCTCAGTGGCTGAGATCACAAACGCCTGCTTTGAGCCAGCCAATCAGATGGTGAAATGTGACCCTCGCCACGGAAAGTACATGGCCTGCTGCCTGCTTTTCCGTGGCGATGTGGTGCCCAAAGACGTCAACGCTGCCATTGCCACCATCAAAACCAAACGGTCCATCCAGTTTGTGGACTGGTGTCCCACTGGTTTCAAGGTTGGCATCAACTACCAGCCACCAACTGTGGTTCCTGGTGGTGACCTCGCCAAGGTCCAGAGGGCTGTGTGCATGCTGAGCAACACCACTGCCATTGCAGAGGCCTGGGCTCGGCTGGATCACAAGTTTGACCTGATGTACGCCAAGCGTGCATTCGTCCACTGGTATGTGGGTGAGGGAATGGAGGAGGGAGAGTTCTCCGAGGCCAGGGAGGACATGGCAGCTCTGGAGAAGGATTACGAGGAGGTTGGAGTCGATTCCATTGAGGGTGAGGGAGAGGAGGAAGGAGAAGAGTATTAAAAGAACCACAGAGAAGTCAGGAAAGCAGAAAGTGATTACATGCACTGTGTTCTTGAATGCATTCCAAACAGAGATGTTCGTCCATCAAAGTATCATGTTTGCCATTTGAATAAAACTCCTGAAATGATCAAATTTGGCTTTGTTCTGAATAAAATCTCTGTGATTTAAAGTTATTTGTCTTGTATTCATTCTAAAAACCTATTTCCAATATGCTACGAATGCATTGTGTCCGGTGCATTGCAGACATGTCAGTTATCTAAATGGTATTATCAGAAATCGCCCAATTCTCTGCTTTTATGTTTTGCAGCATGCTGCCGTCCTTTGGCTACACAGAGTAACTATCAATAGTTCCTACAGGATTAAAATGTAAAATTCAACCAAGAAGTCTCTGAAATTACAATTAACCATCCTATATTTCTTTTGTTGGTATGACTCAGAATATGGGATATGACCAGAACACTCCCAAAATCCATTTCCTGAGGCCAAGAGAATATTTGTAACCTTTTTTTTCAGTGCCATGTTGAGCTCTGAAACTCTTCAAATATGCCAATACGGCTTAGATGCTCACACACTTGATTAGCAACTATTTTCTCATAGCTTAAGTGAGAAAGGAAGATTATGCCTGTAATTTAAGTTACTTTGAAACAATAATTGTTGAAGGTTTAATTACAGTTACCATGTCCTTGGACCGGATTAATATCTCAAATGGGGTCAGTAGTCAAAGGCAACACTTTAATT